GCGGGGGGTGGGGGGGGCAGGTGCTGGCCGCCGAGTGGGTAGGACACCTCCAGCCCGGTTCTGCCTCCGGAGCGCGCCGCCCGCTCGCGCTGGGAGGAGGAGGAGGCGGGAGCGGGGCGGGGGGCGGGGGGCGGGGGGGGCGTGCCCCGCTGGCGTTCTGCTGGGTCCCTGAGCCTGCCATATTCACTTGGGAAGCCCTGGACAAATTCTTTAATCCCGAGCCTCGACCTTCGCCCCTCCCGACTCTCCCTGCGGTATTTTTAGCTCTAACCTGGAGGGCTGGGAGAAAGGGACCGGAGAGGCCCTAAAGCCTTTGGCTTCACTCCATATCCCAACCCCGCCACACACCCCAGGTTCCCTCTCTAGGTCTCTTCTGGCCCTTCCCAGTTCAGTCACTGGACGGTCGCCCACTGTGTGCCTTGCACCGTGTGCTAGAGAGGCATCCAGACTCCTCTCCGCCACCCCACCGGAGGACTGCGAAGGGTGATCACTTTCACCCTTCACTGCAGCAGGGAAAGAAGAGCAGAGCAGGCTGGCAAAGCAAAGCTCATCCCAGGCCAACGAATGACCTCCATCCCCTGGAACGACTGCTCCCCTCTCCTCTTCAGAGGGGGTGATACCAGCATTTGCCAGGGGAGAGGGCAGAATCGCCCGTGTATTTATTCTAAAACAATCGTGGTCAGTGTCATTGCTCACGGGTAGCTAACATTTAATGAGTATGTGCCAGGCAATGTGCTCTCAGCTTTGCCTGCATCTTCAAAGTTAACGCTCACAATACTATGAGGTAGATTCCGTTTCCCCCGTTTTACAGATGAGATAGTTGAGGCTGAGAGAGGCTGAGTGACTGGTCTTACTTAAGTGTAAAATGCTGAAGACAAAAATTGGGAGTCTCTAGTGGGGCAGCCACTGACGAACTTGGCCAGGGCCCACAGTTCATCAGGGAGGCCAGAAGCACACACGTGGCGCGAATATGTGATGTGTGTAGAGTCAAGGTAATGGGGAAGGGTAGAGGGAGCAGGCCAACTAGTGAGGGGAGTCAGTGGAGGCTTCGGAGGAGGCAACTTTCAAGGAAGAAGCCTTGAAAGAAGTGGATTTCGGGTGCCAGCGTGGGGGAGGGTGTGGAAGAGGAGGGTTCAGATGAGAGAAGTTGGGAGCAATTACAGGGGTTTGAGAAGGGGGTCCAGGACACAGACAGGCACGGGGGTGGGGGCGGGGGGCTGGAAGCACAGGGAGAGGAGGCTGAGAGGTTGGTGGAGGTGAAGTCACGAAGGCCTTGATTGCCGAGGAAGGAGCTGGGATCTAGCCCTGTTTGGCTGGGATAGCCTGTAAGCATTTTGAAGCAGGGCAGCAACCTGGTCAGTGGTGCAGGGAGGAGGAGGGGGAAGCTGGGAGAGATCTCCCCAGTGCTTTTACCCCTGGACCCAGCATCCCGCACTGTGACTTCCTTCCTATTCTTTCTAGTATTAGTGGGCTGAGCACCCTCCCGGTCGCTCCCCTCCCCTCTCCCGTCCAGACAGAGTACAGTGGTTACGAGCCTGGGCTTCAGAATCAAGCAGATCTGGATTTAGGTCCTGGCCCTACCACTTACTACGTGACTGAAGGCAAATTACTTGAACGCTCCGAACTCTATGCCTTATTTGTAAAATGAAGAGGTGATCAGTTGTCCCCACAGCATAAATGAGCCTGTGGTGTGTAGAGTCTGTAACGCAGTGCGTGGCGTGGAGTCTCACCGTGTGGCCTTTCGTTTTTCTTTTCTGTTTTAGAGACACAGCCATTCAGAGGGAAGGTTGAACATGACCTTGGGAAAGCGGTTCCATTTCCATTTATGCTAAGATAGCTCCCGGGTGCTGGGTAGGGCTTTGCAGAGAAGGGCCAGGGCAGCTAGAAGC